GCCCAATTGGCACTAAGGGGCCTAAAGTGTGCCAGGAAAACATCCCCCACACCATTACACCACCACCACCAGCCTGCACAGTGGTAACAAGGCATGATGGTTCCATGTTCTCATTCTGTTTACGCCAAATTCTGACTCTAACATCTGAATGTCTCAACAGAAATCGAGACTCATCAGACCAGGCAACATTTTTCCAGTCTTCAACTGTTCAATTTTGGTGAGCTCTTGCAAATTGTAGCCTCTTTTTCCTATTTGTAGTGGAGATGAGTGGTACCCGGTGGAGTCTTCTGCTGTTGTAGCCCATCCGCCTCAAGGTTGTGCGTGTTGTGGCTTCACAAATGCTTTGCTGCATACCTCGGTTGTAACGAGTGGTTATTTCAGTTACTGTTGCCCTTCTATCAGCTCGAACCAGTCTGGCCATTCTCCTCTGACCTCTGGCATCAACAAGGCATTTCCGCCCACAGAACTGCCGCTCACTGGATGTTTTTTCTTTTTCGGACCATTCTCTGTAAACCCTAGAGATGGTTGTGCGTGAAAATCCCAGTAGATTAGCAGTTTCTGAAATACTCAGACCAGCCCTTCTGGCACCAACAATCATGCCACGTTCAAAGTCACTCAAATCAACTTTCTTCCCCATACTGATGCTCGGTTTGAACTGCAGGAGATTGTCTTGACCATGTCTACATGCCTAAATGCACTGAGTTGCCGCCATGTGATTGGCTGCTTAGAAATTAAGTGTTAACGAGCAGTTGGACAGGTGTACCTAATAGAGTGGCCGGTGAGTGTATATATATATATATATGTGTGCTGTAGTTTGTGACTCTTAAACTCTGGTGTCAATAAAAATGTATCTTTGTTCAGTGATAATCACTTTATCTGTCTTTTTATTCAGCAAATTAATCAGTGTGTGTGTGTGTGTGTGTCTTGCACTGCCATTCAGCTCAGTGGTATCATAATTTTCCTGTTAGACATCAAACATAGTATATACAGTATAATATAGTTATATAGTATGGTATAGTTATAAGGTAGTCATTGCTTTTCTTTAGGCCTTAAAACGGTCAAAGGGGCCTCCAACCAAATTTTGCTTAGGGCCCCCAAAGGTCTAGGGCCGGCTCTGACTGCAAAAACTAAATAAATAGGCAATACAAGCTGACCGATTATTTTATTTATTATGCTGTGAGTAATCCACAGATTTGTCAGTGGAAAAGTAATTTATATTTGTGTGTGTTTTCTCACATTTTGGCATAGACAAGCATGTCCCGCGCATTTTTTCTGGATATTTTTCAGTGAGGAGACTGATTGACTAACATAACGTTAGCTGCTAACACTGCAAAAACTAAATAAATAGGCAATACAAGCTGACCGATTCTTTTATTTATTATGCTGTGAGTAAACCACAGATTTGTCAGTGTAAGTAATTTATATTTGTGTGTTTTCTCACATTTTGGCATAGTCAAGCGTGTCCCGCGCATTTTTGGATATTTTTCAGTGAGGATAACGTTACTGATTGACTAACACTGCAAAAACTAAATAAATAGGCAATACAAGCTGACTGATTATTTTATTTATTATGCTGTGAGTAATCCACAGATTTGTCTGTGGAAAAATAATATTGTAGTATTTTCTCACATTTTGCATAGACAAAAGTGTTCCTCGGACATGAATATCCGTGAGGAGACAACCACAGGCCGTCTTTCACGCGGCAAAAACTAAAGAAAAAGGTACTACAAGCTGACCTATTCTATTGTTTATGCTATGAGTAAACTACAGTTTTATAGGGGGAAAATGAATCAATAATTGTGTTTTTTTTTCTTCTTCTTCACAGTTTGGCATAGACAAACCTATCCTGTACAATTGCATATTTGACACAAGGGAGACTGACATTCATTTATGCGGTAAGTTACGAACTAAAGAGAAAGCTATAAATATTCCTTTCTAAGCTTTAATTCAAAACGGGTGATTTATAAAAGTCTGGTGCTCAGGAAAACGCGTAATTGCCGTTTAATGAGGTTAAAATGACGGATTGGTTTGCTAGTGTTAGTTAAAAAGACTGACAATATGTGCTTGTCACGTTTTCTAATTTGAATTTCGCAATAACAGATCACTGTCATGCTATTGAAATGCAAGCTATGCCCATTTGTCTGCTCTGTCAGACTAAGTCTGTTAAAACATTACAGACTTTACCATTTTGTACATTCAACAGTATGTCCGATACCATGTCTGTATGAAGGCTGCATGTGTACATTCAAATCATACAATTCCCTGAAGATACACTTGACAAGATTTCATCCTGAGAAGGAAGAGACACATGGCTGTGAAAAGTCTATGGAATTCCATTGTCCTTTGTGCACATTGAAGCAGCCATTTGTAGAACAGGACATGTTCTGTCACCTGCGAAGTCATTTGAAAAAAATTGAAATGGTGACATGTCCTTATAGAAATTGTAATTTCCAGACAAATAATTACTCCACATTCAATTCACACAAATGGAAGGAGCACCACGATGCTTCAGAATATAATGATTTGATAGTCATAAGTGAAGTTTCTGAGCAGCAGAACAGTGGATCTGAAGATAACCAAGAGGTATCTGAAAGTCATTCTGTCTTGGAGCCAACTGTGTTAGACACTGGTCAATTATTTGACCTGCTTCATCACACTTTGGCAGCTTTGTTCCTCAAAATGCAAACAATATTGCATGTCTCTGAAAAAGCTGTTCAAGAAATTGTTGAACAATTAGATCAGCTGTTTCAGTTATCAAAGCCCTTGATCAAAGCTGCTGTCAGTAGAGTACTTACTGAAAACCAGTGCTGCGTCCCTGAATCAGTTGTAGATGAAATTGTTGAGGCAGTGTCAGAAAATAATGTACTTCACAGATCCACAACTAAACATGCAGTTCTTTCAACTGCTAAAAGGAGGAAGACGTATATTGAGCACAAATTTCCATTTGTGAAGCCTGTTGAGTACTTCATTGAATCAAATCACACCTGCATGTATGTGCCAATTCTCTCCAGTTTGCAGGAGTTGTTGAAAAAAACAGATGTACTTGAAAAAGTACTGGAGACTTCACCTTCACAAGATGGATGTTATGCAACTTTTTGGGATGGCACTTATTGTGAAGAAAATCCCATCCTCTCAGATGACAAACTAAAGTTTGCTCTCATACTTTACATTGATGATTTTGAGGTTTCAAATCCTCTGGGTACTTCTCGTAAAATTCACAAAGTGTGCGCAGTGTATTGGGCATTAGCTAACATTCCAGCTAAATTTCGCTCTGCACTTCACACCATACAACTTGCTGTTTTTTGCAATTCCAATGACCTGAGACATTTTGGCTATTCTAGGGTTCTTGAACCCTTACTAAATGATCTCAAGACTCTTGAAGTAGAAGGTGTTTACATTGAGTCTCTTGGTGACTGTGTAAGGGGTTCAGTTTTTGCTGTGGCGGCAGACAATCTTGCTGCGCATGGCTTTGCTGGCTTTAAAGAGAGTTTCAATTCCGCATACGTTTGCAGATTTTGCCTCAGTCCCAAGACAGACATACAGACTTCAGAAGTGACCACTGGTAACTGTGAGTTTAGGACAAGAGAAAATCATGACACCTTAGTCCAAGCACTTAAAAAGGATGGAGATCATCTTGATTATGGGGTAAAGAGTTCTTGCGCCCTATCAGATTGCCTTGCTTATTTCCATCCCATCACAGGGTTTCCACCTGATATATTACACGATTTGTTTGAAGGTGTTGTACCTGTTGAAATCGCACTTTGCTTAAAAACATTGATTTCCAAGAAATATTTATCTTTGGATGATCTCAATAAGGCAATTGTGTCCTTTCCTTTTGAACATTCTGACAAGACTGACCGTCCACATCCGATTCCCAAAAGTTTTTCAACCCGGGGCACTATAGGTGGAAATGGTCACGAGAACCACACCTTGCTGAGATTATTGCCTGTTCTAATTGGACACTCTGTCCCAGAGGGTGAAAAATGTTGGGACATTTTGATGAATTTAAAAGACATAGTTGATTTATCACTATGTCATTCGTTTGATGATGAGACACTACAGTACTTTGCTTGCAAAATTTCTGATCACAGACAACTATTACAGGAAGTGTTCCCTAACTTTGTGCTTCGCCCTAAACACCATTTCGTTGAGCACTATCCTCACCTGATTAAGTGCTTTGGTCCTTTGGTACATCTCTGGACCATGAGATTTGAAGGGAAGCACAAAGTTTTCAAGAAAATTGTGCATGACGCGAACAACTTCAAAAACGTTTTGAAAATGCTTGCAGAACGACACCAAAAGCAGATGGCTTACTATCTGTCCTCTCCAGCCTTTTTTAAGCCTGAAATCCAAACCACAAACATGAAATCTGTCTTAGTAGCCACATTGCCAGAAGATGCACAGGCATTTATATCCAGTATCACTGACAGCAACACCGTTTACTCTGCTGATCAAGTGATCATTGATGGTACCCTTTTTAGACCGGGCATGTTTGTTTGCACAGGGCTACATGGAGGGCTGCCTCAGTTTCATGAGATATGGCACACTTTGCTGTTTAATGACGGTGTTTATTTTGTGCTGAAGATATTTGAATCAAACTATGTAGAACACTTGCGTAGTTATGAGTTAGTTGCAGACTGTGGAGGAAAGGTCTTTGTGAGATCACCAAATGAGTTGCATGACCATATTCCTTTGACTGCTTACAGGGTAAAAGGCCAAAAAATCCTTACCACAAAGAGGTTCATCTCACTCTTGGATCGACAGTAGCCTGCTGCTGCATTGCTGATCACTACACACCTGAGGGTCAACTGTAAGTGCCTTAAAGATTGTGGATGCATCTTCTACAAAACAAATTTTGATTTCTTGATAGTTGCCAATTAGCTGATCAGTTTTGTGGCAAAATATGAATTTTTATTTTTTATTATTATTATTACTGCAAAAGCCCCTGTAGTATGTTTTTTTTATTGTATTTTTATGCTTACAGATTCCAAGATTCCAAATGAGCGCATCAGATAGCACATTAAAGCTGAGGGTGATAATAGATCCTACGAGTACCCGTAAAGTAGTTATGCCATCTCGACCTGAGACAGTCAGTGACCTTTCGTTGCATCTAAAAACAAACCTCAATGTGAGTTATGATTTTAGGCTACAGTTTGAAGATCCTGAGTTTGGAAATGCATTATGTGATCTCGAGAACATTGATGATCTTCCCTCCAAAGCAACTGTGAAGCTCATCAAAACACTTGAGCTGGATATCCATCCTACTGACACAGAAGACACCGCGTTGGCTTCGGACACATCATCCTTTTCTAAACGCACAAGCAGGTGGCCTGATGTGTTTGATCTGCCAAAATTTTCATATGACGTTGAGTTTGCCTTGAGAGAGGGCAATTCTGAATATTTGAAACAAGGAAAGCATCTTAAATTGACAAGGGATCAAAAACATAACATCCTTGAGAGAATGATAGATACAATTTACAGCTTCAAGGCATACCCAATTGATACTGAGTTTGCTCAAGCAGCTGAAGCCCTGGTGAACAAACACCCCTGTTTGAAGGAAAATGGCTCAAGAACCGGTCATGATGGATGGAAAGTGTCCTTGAAGTTCAAAATGGGTAATTATAGAAGCAAACTTCGGAGATCAGGAATGCAAGAAGTTGCCATCAATGGGTGCAAAAAAAGCAGAAGCAATCCAGATGCAGAACATAGTCGAGCAAATATTAAACGCCCTAGACGAGCAGAAGTCAACTTCCTCCCCAACCTTCCTCATGGGTCAGATGAACTTTCTTTGGAAGATTTACGTCTAAATATGATGGATGAACTTAAAAAGAAGGACCAAGATGTCATGATGATAAATCGACACATGCAACAAACATTTGCGCTGAGACGAAAAGAAATTGTGCAGTCCAGTCCATCAGTTAAGGAAATGATGTCAAGATGGCCAGCTTTGTTTCGAGAAGCCCAAGTAAGTGATATTATTTTGTAACTACTTTTAATGTCTACTTCTCAAAGAGAAATGGTTCGTATCTTACTGTTTTGGTATATTGCAATTCATTTTGTTTTAATGCTGTCTTTTAAAAGATTAGTTTACTAAAAATATTGACATATTTCAATAGTCATAGTCATGTCAATAGTATTTCAAAAGTTGAGTAAATGATGAAATAAGTTTTAAAAAAATGGTGAACTTTATTTATGGACATCTTTGCACCCTGTAGTGTTCAAATTTCTTGCAGTGTAGAAAAGCGTTGTGATTTATTTTATTTTCAAATTCACAACCGCCTTTTCATCTAACATTTTTTTCTATTTATTGTTGCAGGTACTTGCAGAGTTTCACAGAATCACAAATCAAAATCTGCAGCAGACATTCTACTCCTCCCTGGATAAACATACTCCACAGCTTCTGAATCTTTTCAGAGCTAAGGCAGCAAAGGGCGGTGTCAGTGGCAACAAGATGGCTGCAATATTAAGAGACTACGATGAACATGTAAGTAGAATTTAACTTATTTAAGGGCTGTACAGGATGAGAACGTTGGTGTAAAGGTTATCCATGCAACAAATGTTAAAGATGTTAAAGAGTTAGTTCACCCAAAAATGAAAATTCTGTCACCAGTTACTCAACCTCATGCCATTCCAAACCTGTAAGACTTTATTCATCTTCAGATCATAGTTAAAGATTGTGGGGAACAGGACGAGGCCGAGGGACGTGAGAACGGCGCGAGGCCGGTGGTGCGAGTGTTAATGAGCTCACAGTTGTCGCTCACGCCTCGCGCCGTTCTCTCACGTCCCTCGGCCTGTCCTGTTTGCCACAAAGATCTTTTGAAATCTTGTAGCTTTCTGTCCCTCCAATGACAGTCTACACAACTACCACTATCAAGGTTTAGAAAGGTAGTAAATCCATGTGACTCTACTTGATTATCCACAAACAAACACATCCGTAGCTTCATAAACTAAGGTTTAACCACAAGTCACAGGGATTAGTTTAGTGATGTCTATCCTACCTTTCTAGACCTTAAGGCCCTGATCACACCTAAAGCATTTTTCAGGTTCAAAAACGCGAGGCACATAGAACTGTCATTTTGCTAGTTGTGTAAGCTGTCAGTGGAGGGAGAAAAGCTCTCTGATTTCATTAAAAAGATTTTTGTATCCCAAAAAAAGTCTTACAGGTTTGGAACATCATGAGGGTGAGTAATTAATGACAAAATTTAAATTCTTTGGGTAAACTAAAATCTTCTGAAGCAATACAATCAATTTGTATGATAATTAGACTGAAAATAAATATAATCAACTATTTAAAATAGACTAAATTTTAAAAAAACACCTCTATACACAGCCTAGGGAAAAAATGGTAATATGGCAGCACAAACCTCAACTATCATCAAACTGATTAAATTATGCTATGTTTTGTGTTTTGTCTTTAAGGACAAGAATGACATTCATGTCAGACGAACTACTGCTCTGGCAGGTTTACCAGTTTATCTAAAAGAAGACTCTGCAGATGTTTTCAAGACACACAAGGTATGAAATATTATATTGCAACAATTTAATCTTTTAGTTAAAAGATTTTAGTCCGTGGAGACGTAACCTAATGCCTCAGAAAATCCAATCTGCCTGTTTACAAGACAGTCGCATTGGCACATATCTGATTTCTATCTGATTTATTTCCACATATGAACAAGGCCTGAAATATCTGAATGCATGCAAATTTTTTCCTGTTTGCACGGTCATAGAACGTCTCCCTAGTGTCGTCACCGACGCAGTTCGAGTTTCCTCGAAAGGGAACACATCCCATCTGTGTCACATATGAGGAAAAAATCTGAATTGGGTCACATTTTACTGACAGAAACTTAGATTTGTTCCACATTAAATTTGATTTCTAAATAAGAAAAAGGCTGTGATAGATGTTAATTTTAAAGGATTAGTTCACTTTCAAATGAAAATTAGCTCATGATTTGCTCACTCTCAAGCCATCCTAGGTGTATATGACTTTCTTCTTTCAGACAAATACAAAGAGTTATATTACAAAATATCCTGGATCTTCCAAGTTTTGGCAGTGGATTGCAACCAACAGATTGAAGCTCAAAAATGTGGATCCATCCGCCATAAACGAACTTCACGCGGATCCGGGGTGGTTATTAAAGGCCTTCTGAAGCACGATGAGTTTGTGTAAGTAAAATATTAATATTTAAACTTTATAAAGTAAAATAACTAGCTTCCGGCCAAACGAACATATGGATTCCACTTACACCTAAAGCGCAACTTATGCGAGTAATGTGACGTACTGCTGATATTTTTGCTACGCCATGATGCAGTACGCTACTTCTGAAGTCACAAGTTGCGCTTTAGGGGCAAGTAGACTGCGTTTGGCTGGAAGCTAGAATTTTACTTTGTTATGTGTTAAATATTAATATTTTTCTTACAAACTCATCGTGCTTCAGAAGGAAGCCGCATGTAGTTCGTTTATGATGGATGGATCCACGTTTTTGAGCTTCAATCTTTTGGTTGCAATCCACTGCCATTATAAAACTTGGAAGAGCCAGGATATTTTGTAATATAACTCCGATTGTATTTGTTTGAAAGAAGAAAGTCATACACACCTAGGATGGCTTGAGGGTGAGCAAATCATAGGCTAATTTTCATTTGAAAGTGAACTAATCCTTTCATAGGATTCATAGCCTGTTCTATAGGTTGTATATCTTTTTACTTTTCTTTTGTTCTAGAACATTTAGCCGATACACCTAGTATGAGTTCCTAGTAAAGTACTAGTATTTTTCCAAATAAAATCTTGCTAATTAACAATTTTGTTAAATGTATTGTTAAAATGAAGTATTACATTTTTGTAAATATTACAGTCAATCGAACTTTGCTGAGCATGTCCATTTTTCAAGGCTTTGTTGTCATTCATGAAAATTTAGTTTTGATGTCTGCCCTGACTATGGCCTGTTTGTATTGTAGATTTGTAAAGAGATGCATTAACAAAGATTTATTTCAAACCATTTAGAGAGAGGATCTTGACCAGGCGCAAAAGGCAGCAGTTGCCATCATTGCTGTCGAGGAAGAGGTTGAAAAGTTGCCTTTCAACCCACAGGATTTTCTGATTGTCCTTGAAGATGAGGTGGTAATGTCTGCAAAGTCCTGGGTTAGTGCACTGGTGCTGATTTTTGGGCTACTCTATGCCCTTCACATAAGCTACCCAAAGAAGCTGACCGTTTTTTTTGAGTTCATACAGAAAGTGCTGCTAAATCTCGACGATGGGAAGGCCAGGCCGAAGTTGCTTGCACTTAAAAATGAACTTCTGATTGACTAATTGCTAACTTTTTCTGGTTCCATTAGGCGATTGAGTTTGCCGTTTTTAGAATTTTAAACCGCAGTTTATGAATTTCTTTTTAAAAGTTCCCAATTTGAGCTGTCTGTTAAAGTTTGAAGAGTTTTAAAGTTTTAAATATTTTATTGGAAATGTATGTCTGATGAAATTGTTTTAATGTTATTTGGACTGATTTGGCACACTGATTTAGTTTTAAAATGACCCTGTTTGGGCAGACCCTGTTTCATAGTCTTAAAGGAATAGTTGATTTAAAGGGTTAGTTCGCCCAAAAATGAAAATTCTGTCAGTAATTACAAAAGTCTTACGGGGTAGGAACAACATGAGAGTGAGTAATTACTGACAGAATTTTCATTTTTGGGTGAACTAAACCCTTTAATGGTTAAAGTGTATATTTCATGAAATTGTTTTAATGTTATTTGGACTGAACAGCACACTTCTGTTTTATGCCTGATGAGCTTTTGTGGGTGAACTAAACCCTTTAATGGTTAAAGTGTATATTTCATTTCATGAAATTGTTTTAATGTTATTTGGACTGAACAGCACACTTCTGTTTTATGTCTGATGACCTTTTGTGGGTAAACTAACCCTTTAATGGTTAAAGTGTATCTTTCATTTCATGAAATTGTTTTAATGTTATTTGGACTGAACAGCACACTTCTGTTTTATGCCTGATGACCTTTTGTGAAAAAGTATTTTTTCAATAAATACTGTTATTGCATAATTTTCTTTCATCATTTCTTTGTACTAATATTTTCCCCTTGTCTTAATTTAACTTTATTAATTTGAGTTTAATTAACTTAAATCATTCACGGCAATCGGTTTCCTCAAACCATTTGAGTAGCTACGTAGTTTAAACTTGATTCAATTTATTAAATGAACTCAAACCAATTAGTTTAAATTAATGGAATGAACTTAAAATCTTTAAGTTACCTATACTCAAAATGATTGACTAAACCAACACTAAATTATGAGTGAATATGACTCGATATATACAAGTTCACAATACTCATATGTATTTGTTTTTAAACTTAAACGGTTTGTAGCAATCAGTTTCCTCAATCGGTTTGAGTTGAGTTAACTTATTGGGTTTTACAGTGTATCAACTCGTCTTAGTTAAGGGAATAACATAGTTTAATATGAAAAACCAGTATCCCTTTAATGAACCCAAACGTCAGAAGCCCAACATACCCACAGCAGCGACACTCGAATCTGGCAGCAAGACGAGATAATAGGGAGAAAACACACTGTCTGCAGTACCATAAATAGCCACAGGAGGGGAGCCCTCGAACACCAACGATTATAACAAAATACCTTATTTTATGTAATTCACACATCAAAACTGTTTAATAAAAATGAATGTTCTTTTGTTTAACACTGTTACATATCACAGGGGGAAAAAAAATCTAAGGAATAAGAAACTGCTAATAATTATTTAGCATACCACAAATATACTCCAGCGCTAACTGCTGTTGCTGCTGCCAGAGCTGCACCTCCTGCTGCTCCCATTACTGTTGCTTTCCCAACAGTGCATGCAGCTGCTCCCACTGTAGCTGCTAGTCCTGCTTCTGCCGCTGTTGCTCCCACTGCTTCTGTTGCTCCTACTGCTGCTCCGACCGTTGCTCCCACTACCGTTCCTATTACTATCGCTGCTCCTGCGGCGGCTGCTGCCACTGCTCCGGCTAATAGTGATTCTGCAGCATCATGTTGCTTGAGTAGAAGAGTCTTCTTATCCTGCTCGGTGTATCTGCTGTCTCCATTCTTCTCTCGCAGACTCTTTATCTTTTCTAGAAGCTCAGTGACCTGAGATCGATCTTTATCTTTGTTGTTAAACACATGAAAACCTCCTGAACACTGATCAACTACTGACCGCAGTGTTTCACATTTATTCAGATATTTCTCTACTGGCTCATGTAACTGATCTCCGTGAGTAAAGAGCACTATTGTGTGATTTAAGAGCTTTGATCCAAAAAAAAGCTGGCTCAGTTGCATAACGTTCCTTTTCTCCTTTGAGAAAGTCTCACCCAGTTTGATCACCAGCAGAAACACATCAACACTATGAAGTGTAAACATCTTCTCTATTTGAGATTCAGCATATTTAATCTTCACTGATGTATCAGAGAGTCCTACAGTGTCGATCACTGTGATTGTTTGTCCGTCCAGCTCTGTTTGTGCTGATTCACAGGTTCTGGTCACAGACTCAGGAGAAAAATCTTCTTTAAATGTTTCTCTAACACCTATGATGGTGTTTCCTGAAGCGCTCTTTCCTGATCCAGTCGAGCCCAACAGCATAATATTCACAATAAAAGGTTCTTCCATGCTGTTCCTCTGCATCCTTCTGTGAGTATAATTGATTTTTTTCTCTCTCACTATTATGAGGAAACACATTTTGTTAATTAAATGACAAAAACCTGCTGCTTCATTACAATGACTTTATTTGCGTAAAAAGAAACAGAAAAAAATGAGACAGACTAAGGCCTTGTGCACACGGACACAGGTATTTTTATAACCGGAGTTTTTCCTACAGCGTTTAAAAAAAAATCCCGTCCACACATGCTCGGTCTCCGTCTACATGAAAACGTAAAAACACGCTATCAAGCGCGGTCAAGTGCATGCCACGCCAGCAGGCGGCGATATAGCCCTAACCGTAAAAAAAGCAACGTTGGCCAATCAGAAGCGCAAATCTGACGTCAAACACAGCGGATAACGGCACACACTCTGACGTCGCAAGGCAAAAACCCCGGTTTCACTGTAACCGGCGTTTCTGAAAATCCTCACCCTGGCAGGGGTTTTCAAAAATGTTCGGTTTCAGTGCGTTTTCGTGTGGACGAACGGCCGAACCGCGTAAAAAAAGTCACGGTTATAAAAATACCCGTGTCCGTGTGGACAGAGCCTAAATCCAGACCCAGATAACATACATATCAGCAGGTTTTAGTGTGAGTAGTGGCTTGCTGTGTGTGTCCCAGATACGGCCCATATGACCTTTGCCACTGCCAGAACTGAGCCATTTGTGCCATAGTTGGCCCAGATGAGGCCCTGATATATTTGCTATTAGCCATACTCCTCAGACAGCAACATAGAATCAACGCATACCAGATGTGGGCCAGATCTGGGCCGACACTATTGGCGCTTTTCCACTGCGTGGTTCGGCTCGGTTCGGCTCGGTTCGGCTCGACTCGGCGCGGAACGGCTCGGCTCGCTTCGCTTTTCCACTGCGTGGTACGACTCGACTCGGTACGGCACAGTTCGGTTCGCTTTAGCTTGGTTGCTTTTCCACTGCAGTAGTACCGCTTCAAAGAGGGTGGGGGACTGATCGTTATAGTTGCGCAACATCTCGGCAACCAACGAGAGGAACGTCTGCACCTCGTCCACTGACCACGATTCAGCCATTTCTTTTTTTGAAGTTTTCATCTTCTTTTTTCAAGCAAGTACTTTAAAAACAGGTGCTACAGCGTTGGCTGTTGTCTACTGGCTATTTCAATCTAGCGGGTTTAGTGTCTCGTGACGCAAATACAATGACGCTGGTAGTGACGATTCTGTCTGTCTGACCAATCAGTGATCTGTAATGTGTTCACGTCACATTTTAGTATCGGTACGGTACGCTTGGAACCTCAACAGACCAGGTACCATTTAAAGCGAGCCGAAGCGAGCCGTACCGTACCGTACCATGTGGAAATGCGCCATAAGTGAGCCGTACCGAACCGAGCCGTACCGTACCATGCAGAGGAAATGCGCCATAAGTGAGCCGTACCGAACCGAGCCGTACCGTACCATGCAGAGGAAATGCGCCATAAGTGAGCCGTACCAAACCGAGCCGTACCGTACCATGCAGAGGAAATGCGCCATAAGTGAGCCGTACCGAACCGAGCCGTACCGTACCATGCAGTGGAAATGCGCCATAAGTGAGCCGTACCGAACCGAGCCGTACCGTACCATGCAGAGGAAATGCGCCATAAGTGAGCCGTACCAAACCGAGCCGTACCGTACCATGCAGAGGAAATGCGCCATAAGTGAGCCGTACCGAACCGAGCCGTACCGTACCATGCAGAGGAAATGCGCCATAAGTGAGCCGTACCGTACCGAGCCGTACCGTACCATGCAGAGGAAATGCGCCATAAGTGAGCCGTACCGTACCGAGCCGTACTGTACCATGCAGAGGAAATGCGCCATAAGTGAGCCGTACCAAACCGAGCCGTACCGTACCATGCAGAGGAAATGCGCCATAAGTGAGCCGTACCAAACCGAGCCGAGCCGTACTGTACCATGCAGAGGAAATGCGCCATAAGTGAGCCGTACCGAACCGAGCCGTACCGTACCATGCAGTGGAAATGCGCCATAAGTGAGCCGTACCGAACCGAGCCGTACCGTACCATGCAGTGGAAATGCGCCATAAGTGAGCCGTACCAAACCGAGCCGTACCGTACCATGCAGAGGAAATGCGCCATAAGTGAGCCGTACCGAACCGAGCCGAGCCGTACTGTACCATGCAGAGGAAATGCGCCATAAGTGAGCCGTACCGAACCGAGCCGTACCGTACCATGCAGTGGAAATGCGCCATAAGTGAGCCGTACCGAACCGAGCCGTACCGTACCATGCAGTGGAAATGCGCCATAAGTGAGCCGTACCGAACCGTACCATGCAGTGGAAATGCGCCATAAGTGAGCCGTACCGAACCGAGCCGTACTGTACCATGCAGTGGAAATGCGCCATAAGTGAGCCGTACCGAACCGAGCCGTACCGTACCATGCAGAGGAAATGCGCCATAAGTGAGCCGTACCGAACCGAGCCGTACTGTACCATGCAGTGGAAATGCGCCATAAGTGAGCCGTACCGAACCGAGCCGTACCGTACCATGCAGAGGAAATGCGCCATAAGTGAGCCGTACCGAACCGAGCCGTACTGTACCATGCAGTGGAAATGCGCCATAAGTGAGCCGTACCAAACCGAGCCGTACCGTACCATGCAGTGGAAATGCGCCATAAGTG